TACCGTAGTCCTGTTGTATTTGTTGTTGTTGTTTGCCATCAAGTAAGATCCAACATACAGTGACCTTAATAGTGTTTTCAAGATAACTGAGATACTGTATCTTAAGGACTGATTTTACCAGCTCTATACTCCTAGTGAGCTTCCATGACTGAGTGGGGATTTGAACCCAGGCCTCCTGAGTCCTAGTCTGTTACTCTACCCACTACACCACATCGGGTATCTCACTCACATAGATGGCTGAAACAAGCATGAAGAACATCTTTGGGCCTGAGAGCGAAATACTATTTCAGATGATTTTTTTAAAGGCTGGGGATGCATTCCAGTTGGCCCAAAGGCCCTGCTGGACCAGAAAAGGTTGGAACCAGAAATAACAACACTTATCACTTTTACTGCCAGCATGCCAACCTTAGGAGGAGCATTTCTACTTTCAAGCGAGTACAAGGGTGTGAAAGCTATCCAACAGTGGTGCCCTTGGGGAGGGGGCACTCGGAGGGCCATATTTGGCCATAGGGCCTAAAGCCCACCACTTTGTTTTAAAACACTGATTTTGGGAACTTTAATTTATTTATTTATTTATTTATTTATTTATTTGTTTGTTTGTTTGTTTGTTTGTTTGTTTGTTTGTTTACTTACTTACTTACTTACTTACTTACTTACTTACTTACTTACTTATTTATTTATATTTATTCCATTTATACCCCGCCTATCTGTTCATTACGAACACTCTAGGCGGCTTACATATATATACTCAAGACTTAAGAACAGCGAAACACAACATGTTTACATGCTACTTTTTAAAAAAATAACAAGTGATGCAAAGAGAATACCCTTTTAAAAAAGGAGCATCTAGCACAAACATATAATTTTCCAAAAAAAAAAAAAAAACATTATTGGTTATTCTGGGTTTTTCAGGCTCTTTGGCCGTGTTCTGAAGGTTGTTCTTCCTAATGTTTCGCCAGTCTCTGTGGCCGGCATCTTCAGAGGGCAACAACCTGTGCTCTACCAAAAAACCCAGAACAACCATTAGATCCCGGCCGTGAAAGCCTTCGCGAATAACATTATTATTTCTTTTAATATGGATCACTTTGAATATCGTTCAGAAAGCCAGAACACAAAATTTTAAGACAAAAATGTTTAAAGATCAACGCTGCTATTGTCTTTTGATCTTTTGAGGTAGCAATCTGATGTGCACTTAGCTGCAAATAATTTGTGTTGTGTTTGGGGAGACAAACAGCCATATAAACATGTGTAGCACATTACATTCAAGTCCTTAATAGAGGTTCATTGTTTTGTGAAATGACCACCGATGCATTAGCAAACAGGTTTTCTCCAAAGTATGTGACCAAACCTCAAATCACAAAATGGAAGCAATTCCCCTTGTCTATTATGCAAATAAATGGTGAAACAGCTTTTTAACTGTGTAATTTTATTCAGGGTCTGAATCTCCTGAAGACATCTGGCTTTATGCAAGTGTTCCATGTGTTTGCTTCGATAAGGCCAGCTCAGAGCTATTGTATTTCTTGTTAGCTATCCTGCTTAGTGTTTGTTATAATGTCCTCGTAATCAAGCATAGATCATTTCGCATGTATTAAAAATGCACACACTGGAAATCTGGCATTTATAGTTGAACTGCATTTGTACCTTGCATTTTCAAAGATGATACAAGACTTGGAGCTACTGTACAAGCAAACCACTGTGGTCCCAGGGATTCAGGGGGGAAAGCTAAAATTCTGGTCCCAGAAATTCAGGGTGGAAAGGGGAAACTTATGGGAATCATTGGTGTTCCCATAAGTTTTGGGTACCTTTTGAAGGCTAATTGTGGCTAATGGGCAAGATGCCAGGGCATTTCTTGGTCACATGCCTGGTCACATGCTCAGTTGGAAAATTTAGATGTTCGCCAGCATCTCATGAGTTCACTGCAGTTAGCTGTGGCACATTACCCAGGCCTTACCGCAGTGGTTCCCAACCTTGGGTCTCCAGGTGCTCTTGGACTAAAACTCCCAGAAGCCTTCACCACTTAGTTGTGCTGGGCAGGATTTCTGGGAGCTGTAGTCCAAGAACATCTGGGGACCCAAGGTTGGATTGCCAGTGTGCTGTAAGCGACAGAGTGATGGACTAGGACTCTAAGGTGAAATGTTCCCTCATAAAGCCTTTCAGAAAGAATTGTCAAAGTAGACACTGAAAATCTATGGCAAATGACAAGAACTGAACGGGAAGTGAGAAGGGATTTTGGATTATAGAAGGAAAGCAATAGGAAAGAATTCGTAGAGGAAAGGACAAAGAGAAAAAGAAGAAAGGAGTTCAATAGGTGTTCTAACAGGGATGTGACTCTTTTCCGTCCTGATCTGTCTGTGTCTGACTGCAAGATTTCCTCCCCTCCCCCCGCAATTAGTCATGGTAACTTGCACGATTCTGCTTATATACATATACAGTATATACATAGAGATGGAGACACAGACACAACCATTATACAGTATTCCTCTTTTCTACTAAGAAAGAGCACTCAAACATCATCAAAAGCAACTCAAAAACAGATGGTTCAATAAAACCATTAAAATCACAATAACAAAAGTGATTTCACAAGAACCTGTAAAAGCATTTTAAAGGCTCTTATGAAGACATGAGTCTTCATGCCCCACCTAAAAACAGTAGGAGTGGGAACTGACTGCAACTCTGAGGGCAGTTATTTTCTCAATCTGGAGCCACGTGAGAGAGCTAGTCAAGTGTGTCTCCACAGGTGGTGGTATTCTCAAGAGAGCATTTCCCGAGGAAGTTAATATCTAGGCAGATTTACAATGAAATGTAGTGGGCACATAGGCAGGCTCCAAGCCATTTAATGTTTGTTTGTTTGTTTACTTTTAAATACAAGTACCTTGAACTGTACACCACTTGGTGCCACACATACAATTTTAAAGTTAGCAGTCAGCAACTTGCACACCCTTTAAAAGTTTAGAAGTTTAAATCATCACCTTGAACCATGCACCAGATACTGTACTGGCCTGCACCAGCTGCAAAGCTTCCAGGCACTTTTCAAGGGTAGCCCTATGAATGAGAGCTAGGATTTAGATGGCTCTTGGGAGGAGCTGCGGAAAAGACGAAAGCAACAAGCCAAATACGTGCACAGTTTAAAGCAGGTATTTGGGCAACACAATAGGGGTGTATGGAGTCCAATAGTAGAGTTAAACAGAGTTGTGTATTCAGAGTTTTTCTAACAACTCTCAGACTGCACAAATGCTGGAAGCAGGTGTAAGCCTCAGGCTCTGTTCTCGTCATTTAGTCGTGTCTGACTCTTCGTGACCCCATGGACCAGAGCACGCCAGGCCTTCCTATCTTCCACTGCCTCCCGGAGTTGTGTCAAATTCATGTTGGTTGCTTCGCAGACACTGTCCAGCCATCTCATCCTCTGTTGTCCCCTTCTCCTCTTGCCGTCACACTTTCCCAACATCAGGGTCTTTTCCAGGGAGTCTTCTCTTCTCATGAGATGGCCAAAGTATTGGAGCCTCAGCTTCAGGATCTGTCCTTCCAGTGAGCACTCAGGGTTGATTTCCTTCAAAAGGGATAGGTTTGTTCTCCTTGCAGTCCAGGGGACTCTCAAGAGCCTCCTCCAGCACCACAGTTCAAAGGCATCAATTCTTTGGCGGTCTGCTTTCTTTATGGTCCAGCTCTCACTTCCATACATCACTACAGGAAAAAACCATAGCTTTGACTATGGGGACTTTTGTTGGCAAGGTGATGTCTCTGTTCTACATGCTAGCAATGCTGCTGCTACTACTCTATGAATGGTGGCTGTTCTCTCCTGTTTTTCTTTGTGTTTCATTTTTCTCTTCTTCCCCATCCAGTCTCATTTGCTCTTTCTTCTTTTTCGCTCTCTTCAGATTTTCTTCTTCTTCTGTCCTCTCTCTCTCTTCAAGTCTCAGGATCTCTCCAAGGTTCTTCTTGAAGTTCACAAAGACTTGAATTTGTACACAATTTTGTTTCCTTTATTTTAAAATAATAATTAACTGAAAAGTCTGTCTCGTTGCTTTCAAATGTTGCTTGGAAATCAGTGAGTCATGTGTGTAGATAAAACACTAGACAGCTAAGAAGCAAAATGTCAGATTAGTGAATGGGCTTAATTTGTTTTTTTTAAATATAAATTAATGCAAGGATAAACCGTTCAAATCCTCAGTGTTCTCACCTCTTCTTCATCAGCACAATAGTGTGCAGTTGGCAGAATTCAACTATTTCACTATTTATATGACATGATTTCCTATGACATGAAAAGAGAGCTTATAATTGGACAATTAGAAAGAAGTGTGCTTGGCTAGAAAATGAGAAGCAGACTGTCAAACAGATATTTAAAGGACTAAATGGCATATTTGGTATTCTGTATATTGTGACAACTGAAGCAAAGGTTTATGTGACAGTGAAGGACGCTCATATGGCATCCATGCCATAATGGCAGGCATAATCGATGGACTCCTCTCTATGCTATTTCTACACACCATACTGTGCATTTTTTCTTAGAGGCAGTGGCTGGGGAAAGCAAGGAGATAGTGGTTGGCTTTTTGTGCTGGCATAGGAAAAATCACCAAACGTGCATATTGAGTTTATGTACACACAAATGGCTGGCTATATAATGCTGTCTGCCATCTGGATCAGTTAAAAGTGCCTATAATATGCATTTTCTGTGATAAGAGAAGATGCATGTTTTTACATTGTGTTAGCCAGTTTAAAAGGAAAGTTCCATTTCCTTGGGGTGACCAAATCAATTCCATGTATTCATGGAAATACAAGAGCTCTGCTGAACAAGGTCCATCTAGTGCAGAATCCTGTTTTGCTCATTGGCTAGCCACATGATTCTAGTAAGGTGGCCAGCTGAGCTTGAAATTAACAGTCATCTGTCCAGCCACTGGTACTGAGTGGCAGACTTCCTGCAAATCTGAGATTTATTGATTTCATTGTCAGAGACAAGATTGCTTCATATAAATGCCTAAAATGAAACAAATTTTGTTCCACAGGTTTTCCCTATCTGAAGGAACATCAGCAGCCATCAAGGGCACTTTTTCAGGGGAGTCTGAAGCATTCAAGGCAGCTTCATCCTCACCGACCCACCCAGGATTATTATCAGCCTGCCCAGAGAACTTGTGCCAAAATGGAGGGACATGTCAGCAAATTAATCTTCCAGGCAGTGTGGCTTCATTTCAGTGTGACTGCCCTCTACATTTCACTGGCCGTTTCTGTGAAAAAGGTAAGCGTGCTTCACTTTTCTGTGCATTTTCCAACTTACGAAAAAAATTACAGTTCTTTTGCTGATTCCAATAACACAGAATGCATAAAGTAATTTTTGGGGGGGTTCTAAGGGAAATATGGTTGAGTGAAAGAGTTGTCTAACTTGGATCATGCACACCAGCCCTAGTAGTTGAATTTATTTATATTGGTTTCATCCTTGTAGCACCAGAACTGTAGATGCCTAACCTGTGTTATTCATTCACCTACACAAATATACCCACACACTGGCTGAAATCCAGTAATGAGTCACAACTAGAGTAGGGCCATTAAATTTAGATTGTACATAGGTGCTGACTCACCAGCTTCACAGGGGTTCAATTGACCTTTTCTTGTCACTACTGAATTTTAGCCATTGAAAGAACACATGTGGTGGGTGGGCCAGGAACGCTCCTTGTTAAGAAGAACTCTATGGAGGTCCACCACCATGGACAAAATTACTATTCTTAGCATAGTAAATTGCACTAGAATAAGCATACAGAAGCAGTGGAGATTTAGTGCGTCAACTCCTTGTAAGTTCCATTAATTAAAATTGGTCTACTCTAACTGTGACTTACTAGGTTTGGATGCATCTCAGTTAGTGTAGACCCATTGGAATCAATGGAAGTTATGGAACAGTTGACTAACTAAATCCCTACTGATTCTGTGGGTTTATGCTTACTATGCTAAGCAACAGGATTTTGACCTATATGTATAAAGTCTTTTCTCAAACTGTTCAGAAGTTGAGAAGCATTTGATGATGTGGGGGATGTGGCCAGAACACATAGCAGCAGTAGATGCAGCCCCAACCTGTGTACCTTTACAACACCGCATTATGCATTATTGGGGGTGTGTGTAAGTTTTTGGACTACAACTCCCAAAATCCATGGGTAGCCATGCTGGCAATTACAGTACTGTATATCCAAAGAGTAATGTTCTCAGCAGTTATGTTGACAGGCTTCAGCTTGAACAAACTGAGTATGTAAAGTTGTATCAAACTTATATCAAAGCTGTGTCAGTCTGGCCACATTTTTTTTCTGTTATGGGTCTACCTTGCAGCATGTACTGGAGATCAGGAACAGGATACAATCTAGAGAGTGTTGGATCACATTGATTGCATGAGGATTTTAGTGCATTTAGTTTTTAGCAGAGGCAATTCTAATTACTCTCATGTAGGACCTTGTTATTTTTTGCACATGGGTTTTGTTCGTAAGGGTAGGGGTGAGGAGAGTATAAAACTGATCTGCTATGGTACGCATGTGTGGAAGGGTCTGTTCTACACATTCCAAGCAAGCACACAAGAGGCATTATATATAGAAATGCATTCTACTTTCATTTGTCACACTGTAGGCATTGTTCCTGCATATTGTTCTGCTTCTGTCCAGTGTATGTGTGTGATCATTATATGCAATACACTTGTGCTGAAATTCAGAAAAGTAGTTTGGGGGACGTGGCCTGATCCTGATTGCTCCCCTGGTTCTAGACTGGCAGGAGGAATGCTGGGAAGCAAAGATCCTTCTTGGTCCACGGTCCCTTTCACAGAGTACTGGGGATGGATGTGGGAGAGAAAGTTTTTAAGTCTTCTCTTTGCAAAGTCAACCAAGTGTTGGACATCTCTCTGTTGCTTCATTGGTCCAATAGAGCTAGCCTTTTGGACCGAGACACACTTTAATCTAGTGGCTGGTGTGATAGGTTTGGAAAATTGCAGACGCTCTGTCAGTCCCAGATATGTACTTTATCTTGACAGACACAACCACCAGAATGGGAAAGTGAAAGGATCCTTTCTGCCTTATTACTAGATCACCAGAATATAACAAGAATTAGGTTGATCCATACTTGAATATTGAATCGAGGCAAGCAAGAATCAGTTTCTGACAGTTTCCTGTCGAAAGTCTGAGAAAAATATTTTCTTCCAGCACTCCCATCACTGCAGGGTCATAATGGAAGTCTTGGGAGCTCTCAACAACAGTAGAAATCAGAGAAGCTATTTAAATCTCTAGATCATTTATCAATATCTACTGCAGGACATTCCTCTTGCTTCAAGCAGTACAATATGTGAGCCAATAAAACTCAGCACCCATTGTCCAACAGGTCTTTGATAGATTAGGGGAAGCCCTTTGCTAAGAAGACCTTTCTGAAGGGTACCGTAAGAGTCAGCAACCTGCACAGAAAGCATTGTCTTCTCCCATTCCTGTTTTCAGCAGAATAATGTAGCATTGTCCAAATTCAAATGGATTATATGGTCTGGTGTACAACTGCAGAGGAATAAGGCTGTAAATTCCTGACTGGTACTATTTCAGAAAACAAAAGGAATGCTGATTTAGTATTCCCAGAGGATGGGAGAAGGTAGCCTATTAAGAGTAATATTTGTATTAAGAGTAATATATTGTATTTATAACCTTACTCTCTTCTGTGTTGGTTCTCTACTTGAATGGAATTTTTTTAAATGGAAGATTAAAATGGATTGCAGATAGAAATGTATGTCTTTTTGTAGGAACGTGGTGTCACAAGCAGAATCCCTGGGGGATCAGACCAAAAGCCTGACCTTGTCCAGCAGAGAGGTCTGGGGGAAGACCATATACAGCACTCCTCCTCCACTATTATTTCCCAGCTGCTGTTGTTGAGAGGCATGCCGCCTCTCATCCTTGCCATCTCAGGACTCTAGAATCCCTGCCCAGCCTTAGCTGCCATAGTTGTAGACCAGATCTAAAACTAGAGTCTGAGCATGAAGGAACGGGATCACCAAATCCCCACTGTAAGTGTAAATGACTTCATTCATATGGCAGACCAGTTTTATCTGAAGTCTTTTTCTTATTCATCCAGAGGGGGAAAAAGATCCATCCCCTTTAATCATCCTGACATTGGACCTTAATTGTGCAAAACTACAAGGGCCAGCAACACAAAATATCCTCATAAGGTGGTGGTGGTTGGAAGCCCCTGTCAAACTAAAGTCAAACCACAAGGTGTTCCCTGTAAAATCCACAGAGTATTCAAAATTGTGTATGCATTAATCTCTACCTTCTATATTTGATTTTAACCTGAATTTGCACAGACTTTACTAAGCATATTCAATTATAACTGGCCACTTTTAATTACCATAAAGACATTTAAATTTTTTTAAGTCAAAGGAAATAAAACACTAAAGCAACTACTTTTGGAAAATGTGTGTGCATATATAAACATTATGGAGCAAACCAGTCAATATCTTTTGCTTTCTGAATTTTCAATCATAACCTTTTTATTCAATTACTTCCCAGAAACTTCATTTCTTTGATATGTCTGATACTTAAATGACTGCTAGCATCTAAGGCACATTCTCCTTTTGTTGACGCTGGATAATTTCCATTAGTGTTATTGGGAGTTACTAGTGTGTAGCAAAATGAAAGAGTGCCTCTATTATAATTAAAGCTCTAATATCCTTCTAATAGACTTTCCATTGTATGAAATAAGTACAGGGCAAGTACAGCCAAAAATGCACTTGCCAGATTGTCAATATATTTGAAAGTAATGGAAACCAAGCTGGCAACGCTGGTTGAAAGTAGGTCATTACACTGTATGTGAATCCAGTAAATGACTCTGGGCTAGAAATGATGGGTCCTGGTTAATGACGCCTCCGATTTCAAAAAGTATTTTTAAAAAAATCCTGTTCCTCATGTTTGTAGTAAATTAAACAGCATTCATGTTTTTCAAGCTGCTGTTGGAGAACTGATCTGTGGCAATGTATCTCTCAGATTTATGTAAAGCAAGGCTTGAAATTAAGAAAACATTGTGTGGAGTGCAGCTGGGAGAAGATGGCAAAGAGGCAGAGGGAGTTCAAGGAATGGTCCTTACTAATTTTCCCTGGCATCTTCTTCGAGAAGTAGCTGAGTTAGTGCATCAGCATCTCAGATCCCAGTCTCTGAAGTGACCTATGTCTTGGTTGTCTCATAAGAGAGATAACCTTTTCCACATTTCTTTTTTGCCCTCTATATTGACAAGCGAGGAAGCAATCCCTGGATTTAACCTTGAAGCTTCAGCTGCTGAACCCTTGCCTGGATAATCCCCTTGAAGTTGTGTTGCATTTTGGGTGGCAGTAAGAGGTCACTGGAGTTGCTTTGAAAGGCTCTTCTCACAGCAAATCATATGATTGACACCCATCCCAAATCTTTTCCTACTGCTGAAGCTTTACTCTGTTTATTTATTTACTAATGGAAAATGTGAAGTTCTCAGTACCCTCACTATTTTTCCTTGGCTTAGAGTCTATACTTATAACATTAGTTTGATACCTGAAAAATTAAACATGTAGACTTTCTTTATCTTCTTCACTGATGTTGAAATCAAATAAAATTGCTGAATTTCTAACATTTGTGTGGCTGATAGAATCGTGGAACAAATAGCCTGTTAAAAGGTGTGGGGTTTTTTGGTTCTGATTCTTTTAAAAGGTGACAGTTGGCAGGTGGCCCCCAGTCAATGGTAGAAGGAAAATAAGACACAAATTCCTTAATTGCTGGATAGGTCAGTGGTTTAGGCCCCTGGCCGCTGAGCCCGAAGTTGCAAGTTTGACTCTCCACTTTGTCTCTTTGAAAAGGGCTGGACTTGATGATCCATAGGGTCCCTTCCAGCTTTTCAGTTCTACGATTAAAATTTTATTCCTTTTATGCACTTCATTTAATTCTTTTCATCTTTTTGTCTTTTTCAAATTCTCCACACAATAACTCCATTTCTTACCTTCCATTAACTTCTCATCAGGTTAAAAATAAATACATGCTTGGGGACAGGAACAGAATCCCCATGCTTCTGCAATGAAATTCATTCATAATAACCATCTTCTGCTCATCAGTGTCAAATGATTTGGAATTAAATACCTTTTTTTTTTTGCTTTTTGCTTATTGTCTTACATGCTGTAACAGCTTGTCCAGTCCCTAACGAGAAAAGATCTTTGATCTAAAGTGTAGTACTGAGACTTGTGTTCACAAACCCTCCCCCCCCCCGATCCATTTCTGA